TCCCCTTGGGGGCTGTGGGGGGCTTGGGCCCCCCTTTGGTGTCTGCTTGGAGTCCTTTTAGGTTCTGTGTGGGCTCCTGGGGCGTCCCTTAGAGTTTGTTTGGGTTCTCTAGGGGGTTTGGGGTTCCCTTGGGGCCTGTCTGGGCTTTCTCTAAGGTCTCTGCAGGCTGTGTGGGGTTGTGGACCCCTATGGGGTCCCCCTCAGGCCCCTTGTGGGGTTTGGGTCTCCTTTCGGGTCTGTCTGGGTCTCCTCTAAGGTCCCTTCAGGCTCTGTGTGGGGCCTCTGTGGGGCTTCCTTGTGGGCTGTGTGTGGCCTTAGGCTCCTCTAGAGACCTGTTAAACTCTGTGTGGGGCTGCATGGGCCACCCTGGGGCAGTGGGGTGGGTTTTACCCCCTCTTCCATGGGGCAGCACCAGCCTGGCTGCTTCCTCCCTGGGGCTCCCCCACTGTGCGGGTTGGATCCTGAGCACCCCATGGACCTTCTTTTGGCTGTGGGTCAGACCAGAGCCCCAGGGTGATGGGGACTCAGCTCCTGCAATGCCCCTGTGGAAGCAGCTCCTTCCATCCCAGCAGCTTGTCCTGGTCCTGGCCAGAGCTCAGGGATGGTGTGTGGGAGCCCTTGTCTTCATAGCAACCTCAGGCAGCATCCAGGGCTCCCCTTTATGTATAATTAACAGGTCGTTGTCTGGGCTTCCTGGCCATCGGGAGGGGAAACTGTAGCTGCTGCTTTGTAGAAATGCAGCTGGGTGTCTGGAGAGACAAAATGGAAAGCAACAGTTAATGCTTCCTCTTGAAGCTGGGGGCCTCATCTGTTTTGCATTAGCTGAGTTTTTTATAATCTTCAATTCCAATTGATACTTCTCTGTTCCAGAACTTAAACTTTATAGTTTCTTGTGCTGCCTGCCTTAATGCTGTGTGCAAGTGCTCGAAGTGTCTCTGAGAGTGTTTTTTCCCCTGCAATAAAAACAAAGTATGCATTAAACCTATCTCCTTTGGTCTGGAGATGGAAAAAAGTGCGAGTGCTTTGACTGTCTGCTGTACTCTAGCTGTTGCCTGTGCTTTATAGCTCCCAATCCTTTGGGAATTAAACTGTCCTGGATAGTGGGGCTGGTCTCCTCCCCCTCCTCTTCCAGGGTTCTGGGATGACCAGTTTAGGGACTAAAAAAAGTAACTTGAAGAATGCCTGGATCTTGGCAGCAGCATTCCTGAGTTTCAGCAGACCCTATTGCTCACATTTTTAACAGATGATGTTTCTTCCTTAACTCGGGAATTGCTTAAAGCCGAACCATCAGCCCTGTGTCTCACGAGCCCTCCTGTCTGTGTGGAGCAGTGAAGTGGCTCTGTCTTCTGGGGCTCTGGGTGACCTCGAGTAGCTTCAGGGTATTTGAATTGTGGATAATTGGGAGGGCTGGGGGTGCCCTGCTCCTCTGAGCTGCTTCTGAGCTGGCGCTTGTGCATTGCCATGAAGGCATGAGTAATGTGCATGCTGATACCGCATGGCCTGCCTGTCTGGGGCTGCTCATGAGCTGACTCCTGTGGCCTAGATTTCAGAGGGGACTTTTTACCTCTGTCTTGCTCTGCTCCTTGCCTGCTCCAGCCTGGGCACCCCTAGTTAAGCTCTCCCTGCAAGGCCTGTGTTAATCCCTGTAGGAGCCTCCAGCGGTTGTGATGGAGCCTGGAAGAGCCCATCTGCTTTGTGTAAGAGCAGGGAATATTCACAGCCCTATGGGAGACCTGTCTAGGGAATGTCCACCCAACTACCCTCTACCTGAGCCAGGTCCAAAGGGCAGTTCTGGCTCTGTTTGCCTTAAGCTGAACCGAAAGTGTAATGGGAGGCTCTTGAGAGGGAAGGGGTGTGAGATGGAGCCACTGAGACCTTGGCTGTGCTGAAGCGTTGAGAACCTGGTGTAGTTTTCCTTCCAGAGTGCCCTCACAGATGGCTTGGGCAAGTCCCCTGTGCCGAGTTTCTCCTCTGAGATGCCCAGCAAAGAGGGGAAAAGCTGCTGCTTCATCAGCTGCTAAAAATACAGCACCACAGTGAGAGGAATGAGGCTGCGCTCAAGGCTCGGCCTCCAAATCCTGCCTCGGTGCCGGGGCTCCGACTCCTCCTGTCACCTTGCGCAAGTCGACCGCTCGGCTCCAGGAAGTTGGTGTTATCCGTGGGCTCCCTTCCCCCTTCTCTCCTTGCCCGAGTCCTGTCAGCTCTCCAGATAAGGCACCGTGTGATGTGGCCGACTTCCACAACGGAAACGACGTGTCCTGTGCTGCTCATGGCTGGAACGAGCGGCGCGTGGTTTGGTGCTCGTGGCTGCAGCTACTAAGCTGTAAACGTGCGCGCAGCTGATGTCGAGTGATGCTTTCTAAAGCAATGGGAAGACGTTAGGAGTAGCTATCGCGGTAGCTTAGTCCTGATCAAAACCTGCCTTCAGCCCAAGTGGTGTCTGTGTGTTGTGGTGTTCCCTCATTTGGAGCCTCAAGTGATATTTGCTCCCTGAGACCTGCTCACAGGTGTGGAGCAATTGCTTTCCTTGGTGGAAGGATGTTTTGCAGCTGTAAATAAGCTTTATGTGGATGCCCTGGTGTGTCCTGAGCTGTGTGCCCAGGTGTAGGCTGCTGCAAGTGGCAAAGCTGCTCAAATAACTGCACTTTTAGATGAGCACCCTGGCTTCCAGCCAGCTTGCTCCAAGTAGAAGTCCAGCCTGCTGAGAGATGGGATGAACTGCACCATGAAATTGTGCCTAAGATCTGCTCCAGGTGTTCAAAGTGCTTCAGGCTTGGATGTGGAGAGGACAGGCATTAATACACTTGGGAAAGCTTCTTTGGAGCTCTCCCCTTGATGCTCTGCTAGTGGGTGAGCAGCAGTGTTGCTGGAAGGCTTCATAATTAGTGTTCATCTGTGTTGTGCTGGTGTTGCTTCCCTCCCTTGTCCCAGTGGTGACTTAGTGACAGCCCTAATGATAGATCCAAGCATCTATGAAGACAGGCCAAGCCAAAAAGGCAGCAGTGTCTAAAGGTAGAGCTAATTCTCACTTCTGAGTGCCAGAGGTGTCTGTGCAACCTGCTGCAAAAGCTCTGCAAGAGCCAAGGGGCTGAAATGCCTCAGCTGGTGCAAGGTGAGAATATTCAGGCTGCTTTTTGGCTGTGGGTAAAGGCTCTTGGAATGCAGCTCTTTGGCTAATGCTCTCGCTAAGCGGTCACTGGCTGGTGACAGCACCAAGCCTTGCTGGCATTCCTTGGCTTTGGGGCTTCTGCAGGAGAAAAGGCTCTTAAGCTGTTGCCTTTCAGTTTCTCTGCATTTCTGGTGTTATTCTGGGGTTAATGCCCCATGTGGCCCATCAGTGGCTGATGAGTGCAGAGAAGCCTGTTAATTGCCTGTAGTGCTGCAGTAACTCAGCTGAAAGGCTGCAACTTTCCAGATCTTGAGATATTTTCAAGACTCTTGATCTATCTTTAGAGTTCTTAAAGTCGGAGGCCTTGGGCGGGTGGGAAGTGATCCTAGTGTTGGAGCTGGGGTGTCAACACGGAGCAAGGTGCAGATGGGCTAAGGAAGCCCCTTGTGCTCAGCTGCTGCTCGGGAGGTGCCGGTGCAGCCGGAGCAAGGACAAATGTGTTGCTCAGAGCCACAAAAAGGCACCGTCCGGGTCCTGCTCGCTGAGTCACGGCCGTGTTTGCACACAGGGGTGCGGTACCCGCGGGCACACAGGATCCCTCCTGCAGGAAAGCGCCCAGCCAAACCTGTGGAAAGAGCTCTGAGGAGCTGGAGACATGCAGGAAATCACAGCAGCGATTGCCAGCTGTTCTCCCTGAGGTTGCTGACTGCACTTTAAACCTGTTCTTGAATCAAAGTCCTGTGTGTTGGCCTTGTTAAAGTCTAATCTGCCTGGGCACAGAGAGGTTGATGTGGCCCCCGAGGAAACAAGCTCTGGTTGCTGGGGGGCCCATAGAGCTGGCCTTGGACTGCAGAGAATTTGGTGCCTGCCCCAGCCTGGGGAGCTGCTCAGGAGCAGCCCTGAGCCCTCCTGTTGTGCTGCTTCCAGCTGAGGAAGCCCCTTTGCTCAGTCAAATACACAGTGAGAATAAGAGCTGGAAGGAGAGCCCTAAACACCAGAGAACACATCTTTAGTGTTCGTTAGATGTTGCCACCTACAATGTTGGTTCTTGGCCTGTTTTGAGAGGTCTCTGTTAGTGTTGGGGGTGAGTGCTCCACCGGCCAAGGGCAGAGCCCTGCTGCTCCAGGGCTGTGTTCAGACCGCAGACCTCAGCGGGGCATGGGGTAAACCTGAGGCTGCTATTATAAGAACTGTGGGAGAGCATATAAAAATTACTATTGCCACAAGCTCCCATTAGCAGCTTTATCTTATTGCTGTCTCCTTAGCTCTGCCCTGTTTAAAACCCATTGACCACTTTGTGTTGCAGAGAGGGAAGCTGAGATGTTCTTTGGGTGTTTCCATGTTCTTTGGGATCACAGGGTTTTGGGCTTTGGGGTGTATCACTCAGCAGGTAGAAGGGTGGTAACTGCTGTGAAGACTTTTGAGCTGGCATCATGCAACTGCTGCGGCTTCTCAGGAGAATCTTTCTCCATCTGTTTCCTTGGTTTGGTGTCTCTGCAGCCTCACCTGACCTGCTCTTCTGGCTATTGCTTGGCTAACATCAGCAAAAAACCCCCAAATCTAAAGCAGTAACTTTGAAGCCTTTAACCCACAGCTGTTAACTTGGTTGCTGACAGTCCTCTGCTCCCAGGATTTTATTGTGCCTCTTTGAGCAAGGAGTTTCTCTCCTGTATCTGGTGAAGCTTAATGAATCCCTGATCTGCAGATAAGAAAACAAGATGCTGCTATAGCGCAGACCACAGATGTTGCTGTCCTGTTCAGATAAGCTACACACCAGTGCGATGGGATTACTTGGGTCCTAAACTAGTAAGGATTTTGTCTGCCCTCTAGGTTTTGCAGGTGTCATGGATCTCATCACTGGCTTTGGCATCCTGCAGTAGGAGCCACTGAATTTGAGTTGTGCAAAGCAGGGCCGTGTTGCGTTAGAATTGCAAGGCGCTCCTGATAATCATTTCCTTTTCTCTGCTTTCAGTTCTGGCATAAAGCATGTTTCCACTGCGAGACCTGCAAGATGACCCTAAACATGAAAAACTACAAGGGCTACGAGAAGAAGCCGTATTGCAATGCGTAAGTCTCCGCTCCCTGCTCTAGTTATGCCGGTCTTGGGGCTGTAACTTGATGCTCGAGCCTGTGAAATGCTGTAGCAGTTGCTGGGTCCATCTCCTTTGCAGTTCTCTATCCTAGTGGCACTTGCCCTGGATGTTTTCAAGGTAAATTCATGTAATGTGGATACAATTCAAGTGCAAGAACCCTCTTTCCTGAGTAGATATTGGAAAAGATAGAGGTGGAGCTGGGCAGAATGACATGAGGTGTCACCCCTCAGCTTCCTCTGGTCTTTAAGCTGCGGAGGAATTGTGTGTCTTCCCTTTTCTGCTCTAAGGAGGGATCCTTAGCTGTGTGCAACAGTATGAGATCCCTGATGATAGACTTTTGGATCTGAAAAATGGATGATTCAAGGTACTCTGAAGTTAGGTTGTTACTCTGGGAGACCTTAAATGTGATGTGTGATACTGAGTTTGTGTAGACAGGAAGCTTTGCATTTTTTAAAAAAGTGCTTCAATGCTGCCTTTGTCCCAAATTCTTTTAGGAGGCCTCCTGAGCTCATCTGTCATTGATCAGTGGAGTTCAGAACTCTTAAAAGCTAATCCAGTTAGCTCATTTGTTTAAGTTAATGACAATAGCTTCCTAGTTTCTGCTGCTATATCATGAGCTAGTCCCTGCTGAATCCATAGGTAAGTGGAACTCAGTGCTCACTTGACAAGTTTCTTAATGTCTTAAAGCTCTTCTGTAGTAGATCTTTGTAGCTGCTTCTTATACTTTATCTAATTTTCTTTTGAAGAACTTAAAGCTATTTAATGCTTGTATAGCATGTGCCTTTTACACAGTACTCTTAAATGCTAATACCCATCTTACAAGGATGCTGTCAGGATTAACTCTATTAATGGATAAAACAAAGTAGAAGGAAAAGTAGCAAGACTAACTCAGTCCTCCAGTGCCTTAGTTAAACTTCCTGCTGTTGTAGCTTTTCTCTGATACCAGGAGCTGATTGTGGTGTGTTCAGGATGGTTGAAACTTGTATGATCTGGAATGACTTATTAGTATTGGCTGGGTAATCAGATCATAGCTGAGGTGCAGGGTGGTAATAGTGAGGCGTATCTAGATATTTAAGATTTCTATCTGCACTGTTTTAGAATTCCTGCTTCCAAGGCAAGGCTGGGAACTTGGAAGTTAGGATCAGGCATCTCTTCGGCAGTGGTGTGCGAAGGCAGCAGGCCTTGCTCCAGTAGATAGGGCTCAAACCTCGTTTTGGTCTCCTGAGGCTGCTGTTCCTTCTCTGGATCAAGCACAGCCTTGTGCCCCCATGGCTGTGAGCCCTCCCGATGCTGAACCCTGGGACATCCGTGTCCCCAGTGCTGTCCCTGGCCATCAAGATGGGCCTGGAGTTGTGTTCTTATACTGTCTCCCCTCCATGCTGCTAAAAGGGAAGTGGGATAATAAGGGGAAATTCCTGAAATTCCAAGGAGTATACGCAACCCCAACCCATCTCAGTTTCCAACCCCCTCTGCTCCAGAGCTCTTTGAAGCAGATTTGCTGTCTTAACCCTTGCGTGGCCTCCCTGGAGGGGCAACTGCCCCTCTCGACTCTACCCCAGGTAGTGTCACCTGCCCAAATGATGTGTCAAGACCAATATTGGGTGCTCCATTCTTTCTCCCTCACATGGCTGGGCCTTCAAAACTAAAAGGAACCCAGAGGAGCTCTGATTTGCAGGCAGATGAAGCCTGTCTCTAGCAGCTGCAAACCCCTTGTGTGCTCGAGGGAGGCTCTGCAACCCCAGTGCCCAGTCCTGGGGTGAAGGGAAGCTGCTGAGAGGGAAGTTGGGCCCAGTTCCTCCTCAGCTGGATGAGATGGTGCCCTGCAAATATGCTAGGAAGGAAGAAGCTGCCAGGCAAGGTGAGTGTAGCTGGTGGGAGGGTAACCTGGAGCTACTCAGAAGGGGCCCCCCCTTCAAAACAGCTTTTACTGCTATTAGAGCTGAGGGGCAACATCCCCCATCAGTTAACGGGTGGGGAGTATGGGGGAGTAGAGCACAAGTGGGAAAAGCAACGTTTATCCTGGCAGGGAAGAGGCTGCTTTTCTGAACATGCCTTAACACAGGGTCTCCTCTGTTTGAGCCCTGGCCTTCTGCCAAATTCCAAAGTCTGTCTTCAAGCGAGCAGTAGGAAGAGGGCCGGGCTTCCTCCCTATCTGACACTACCCAGCAATAAATCCATGCAAAGCCAGTGCATGGTTAACTCTGCTCTCTGACCGCTGCATTTCCCCCATGGCAGGGATTCTCTTCATGGTAGATGAGACCATCACTGGCAGAATTTTTCCTGCTTACAGGTTTTGGGGTGGCTGTTTCATGGAATCCTGCAGGAAGGTGGTGCCTGCAGCAGTGCTGCATTGATCCTCGCTGCCTTCAACCCTTTCCATGGTACCTTGGCAGCTTCATGCTTTGCTTAGGCAGTTGCTCATCATGAATTTAGTACCTTGAAAATCCTTCCTGAGAGTTCAAAGCGGTGTATTTGGTCTCGGTATCTTCAGAGGGATAACTGGGCAGCATTGCCACTCAAAATGCAAAGGGCAGCTTGCGTGCACCTGGATGTGAAGCTTGGAGCTGGAGCACAGAGCAGCATCCAGGCTGCAAGGGGCAAGAGCCCCTCCAAAGAAGGGGCTGGAGCCCTGATTTTGTCCGGGTTGATGCTGATGTAAGTGCAGCTGCCCTGTTGGATGCACCTTGGCTGCAGAAGCCCTGCTCTCCGTGCATCTCCTGCGCTGGAATCCTGCAGCCGGAGCCCGGCGCGGCGGCGGCGCTGGCTCCCTGCCACGTGCACACCCTGCTCGCTGGGGTTTTTTCTGAACTTCTCGAACGCGCTGGACGAGCTGGCAGGAAGTCAACGGCCTCCTCCCCCACGCAGGAGCTGCAGCTCTCGAGCTCTCCAAGCAGCCTCCTTTGTCTGAGCTTGCACGGCGGCGACGGCAGCGCCTCCCTGCTCACCTTTGCAGCAGCCTGAGCACAGCAGGGAAACGCTGTGCTGCTCTTCTCCACATCCCCCATCCTCATGGGTGGAGCAGCCCTTTTTTTTTCCGGAAGTCAACGGCCTCCTCCCCCACGCAGGAGCTGCAGCTCTCGAGCTCTCCAAGCAGCCTCCTTTGTCTGAGCTTGCACGGCGGCGACGGCAGCGCCTCCCTGCTCACCTTTGCAGCAGCCTGAGCACAGCAGGGAAACGCTGTGCTGCTCTTCTCCACATCCCCCATCCTCATGGGTGGAGCAGCCCTTCTTTTTCCCCTCAAAAGAGGGGGTAACTGATATGCGAGGTTGCCAAAAATACCTTATGCAGGTGTGTCAGTCACTGCCCCTGCATCTGCCCTGCTTGTGACTCCAGGATTTCTCCAAGCAAGGGGCTCTCTTTGCAGAGGAGCCGCACCCGGATGGCCTCATTCCTGGGATGTGTCCTGGGGGATCCGACCCCGGGGCCTGACATTCCTGGGCACTGAGTCAGCATGAGCAGCCCTTGCCCAGCATCACCCCTCGAGTGCAGCCTGGGCACCGGTGCCTCCCAACAGCAGCCTTAAAGCCTTTAATTCCTGCTAACAACCCTAGGAACCTCCCTGGCAGATTTCTCAACAGTAACTTGATCCCTGCCTTTCCATCCGGAGTAAGCTGCTTGATACCTCTGGGGCTAACTTTTTTGCTTGGAAAAAGTTAGCAAGTAGCAGGCAGAGCTGCTGCGAGTTTCGCAACAAGCCAGTGATCTGTTCTTGGCATTCCCTGCCATCCATCTGGTAGCTGCCCACTGCATTGACGGAGTGATCCTTCCAAGTTCTTTTTCTTGGGGGGAGGGAAGCAGGAAGAGAAGGAGGAACAACTGTGTTGCTGGGATGGAGTCCAGGTGTTTATCTGCTGCTTTTTGTGCTGAGTTTTTGTAGGAGAATGACTGTCTCCATGCACAAGCTTTGTGTATTGTGGGGTGCTGAACAGACACCCCTCTGTAAATGAAAGCTGCTCTTTCCATGCGCTGTGGGTTGGAGGGCCCCAATGCATATGGCTTGGAGGAGGGACAGGAGCTGGGGAATATGGAATAGTCTGTTTTACCTCTGGTGGTGCTTGGGGAAAAGCTTCCCCATCCTCTCTGTGCAGGAGAGGGGATTCAACGCATGGAAAAGCTCTCCCGAGTAATGCCAGGACTAATGACTGGGTGGTTGGAGGAGTCTCTGCGTGGAGCATCTGTTCCCTGCAGCGTTTGGGATCGAATTATTCCAAGTGCTGTCCATACAGTGGGACTTCACTGGGATACCTCTTGTAGCTCATGCGAGTGCTTGGAGCTTGCAAAGCAGCTTGTGGAAATCCAGGATCCTCTAGGGTCTTGCCACCCTCCTACCCCATCTTCTGCTGTTATCTGCCCTCCAGGGCTGGTTTCTAGCACCACTGCAGGGCAGGGACCGGAATGGGAGCTTTGCACCCCAAAAGCAGCCTGCCTTGCCCACCGTGTCCCTTCATCAGAGCGAACGAGATGGTTTGAGGGGCAGGGAAGTGCAATGACAAGCCGAGTCCCATCAGCGTTTGCTGCCCTTGTCGCTTGGTTCGTGTTGCTGCCAGGCAGTGTGGATCTGTCACACTGCAGTGTGTCACCACAAGGCCCGAGTCTGGTTCTGCAGTGAGGTTTTAGCCTGTGCCCTGAGCTCGCTCAGAGGGCAGACTAAAATGTTGACTTTCCTAAACTTGTTGATCCATGCCCAGAGCCAAAAAACCTTGTGGAAAAACCCAGTTCCAGTGCAGTGCCCATGTTCTCATAGGTAAGCTCAGGGTCTGGGCAGGGGCAATTAATTGTGGCTTATGGCCTTGCCTGGAGCTGAGGCCTCTCCCTGGGATGGGGGCGGAGGGGACCATGACAAGCAGCTGTTTCCAGAAGCGCCTTCTGACTTCACTCCTTGGCAGCCCCTGTTCTCCTGTGCGCGCTTGAAATCTTTCCGCTGGATTAAGGCAGCTTTTTGCAAACAAGCTGCCTTTTGCTGAGCATCCTGCT